AGAGACATATGCAAACCAGCATAGCCTGGGCTAGGTGAGCACAGCTATGTGGCTGACTCATCTCAGTAAGCTTAACATATATCAGGACCACAGGACTGAAATATTCTGTTGTTCAGTAGTAATGTATCTTATTTGCCTTGAGGATCATGAAATCTTCCCTTGTGATCTTCCCATTTTTTTCTTATGATGTTAACTAACTAAAATCTGTTTTTTTCAGACACAATCAAACCCTCTAATATTCTACTATTAAAAGAAGCTGAAACATATTAGAAATTGGAGAGGGAAAATTAAATGTAAGAACAAAATTAGGGAACAAGCAGAGCAACAGAAAGAGAACTATATAATGCTACTCTACTAGAGTTGACCCAGCAAAGAATTTAAAACTCTGAAAGCCTTCTCAATAAGGAATCCCTTCTGCACACTGCTAAATATGGAAATGTGATTTCTGAGAACACATATAACACTAAAATATTTTTCATTTTCTTCACTATTAAAAGACCATGATCTTCATTTTTAGAACCTAAACTCAGAAGTCCTAGTAAATCATTAGAGCTGAGCATTTATCTCAGAGATTGAGGATAGGTACTACCTATAGTGAACCTGTACATGTCTTTGTTGGTGCAGCTGTATGGGAAAAGATAAGAGGAGGAAAAGACCTCTCTCTTGAGACTGGAGTGACATAAATAACTTCAGTATTTGGTGTAACATCTCTAAAGACTATGCCGCCTGCATCTGTGAGCCAAATAAATCCATTGCAAAGGTTTGGATCTGTAGGATAAACATGGTCCATAAACATGGCCCTGTACCCTAATCAAGGATAAAGAACAGTACAAGGAGATTAAAACTGGTTTCCTTGAGCTGAGAAATAATAGCTTTTCTTTTGAGTGAGAGTAAAAGCAGAGAGATGTCATACCTTAGGACTTAAGTATTAAAGTCCATGTAATAATTTGTGTAATTTACCAAATATTATATCATTTTCATACTATAGCAATACTACAGATCAGTCAAACTATTTAATAGGAATTTCACCTGCCAGACACGTGGTAGCTCACACCTCAAATCATAGCTAGTCAGGAAGCTGAGACTGAGGATATTGGTTAGAAGCCATACCAGGCAGAAAAGTCCCTGTGAAAATTATGTCCAATTAATGACTCCGAAAAACCAGAAGTGGCACTGTGGCTCAAAGTGGTAGAGCACTACCACCTCAGTGAAAGAGCTCAGGGGTAGAGCCCAGGACCTGAGTTGAAACCCCATAAATTTTTTAAAAAAAATAAAAAAAATATTTCTTGCAATCCCATTTGTCCAACCTTTCTTTGATTTGTTGTGTTTCTGGGTCTCTATTAAGAAAATTTGGGCCTGTACCAAGGAGACCTAGGGTTTATCCTATTCCATCCTGTAATGTTTTCAGAGTGTCTGTTTTAACTCCAAGGTCTTTGATGCATTTGGAGGTGATTCTGGTGCAGGGTGATATAGAAGGATCTAACTTTATTTTTCTATAATTAGTTAACCAATTTTGCCAGGACCATTTACTGAAGAGGCTGTGTTTCTTCCATTCTATTTTTTTAGCTCCCTCATCAAAGATTAGATGGCTATAGATTTGGGGGTTCATTTCTGGGTTTTCAATTCTATTCCGTTGGTCCTGAGGTCTGTTCTTGTGCCAATACCAAGCTGTTTTGATTACTATGGCTTTGTAGTAGAGTTTGAAATTTGGTATTGATATTCCTCCAGCACTGTTCTTTCCGTTGAGGATCATTTTTGCTATTCAAAGAAAGGTTGGACAAATGGTATTTCATGAAATTGCAGAGCTTCTGCATGGCAAAAGACATAGCTAGCAAGATCAGTAGAAAGCCCATGGATTGGGAGAAGATCTTCACTAGACATACAACGGACAAGGGTCTCATATCTAAAACATACCTGGAACTCAAAAAATTAATTCCCCCAACAACAAATCCTCAAAGAAACAACTGCCCAATAAATAAGTGGACTAAAGACTTAAAGAGAAACTTCTCTAAAGAGGAAAGAAGGATGGCAAATAGACACATGAAGAAATGCTAAACCTTTCCAGCCATAAAAGAAATACAAATCAAAACAACATTGAGATACTACCTCACCCCAGTTAGAATGGCTAAAATCAAGAACTCTAATAACAACAGATGCTGGAGGGGATGTGAACAAAAGAGAACCTTACTGCATTGTTGGTGGGAGTCTAAACTTCTTCAACCACTCTGGAAAGCAGTATGGAGGTTCCTCAAAAGACTCCACATAGAGCTCCCTTATGACCCAGCAATCCCACTTTTGGGCATTTACCCAAATGTTTACAAACAAGACCACACTAAAGCTACCATCATGACTATGTTTATTGCAGCATTATTTACCATAGCTAAGATATGGAACCAACCCAGATGCCCCTCAGTAGATGAATGGATCAAGAAAATGTGGTATATATACACAATGGAATTCTATGCGACCATCAGAAAGAATGACATTGCCCCATTTGTTAGGAAATGGAAAGACTTGAAAAAATTTTTTCTAAGTGAAGTAAGCCAGACCCAAAGAAACATAGGCCCCATGGTTTCCCTTACTTGTAATAACTAGTATGAGTCAAATAGAAAAGGTCAGATATTTTGATGTTAGTTGAAATGAACACCAAGATAAGTATTCAAATGTATTTTACTTTCATGGGATTGTTTCTAACATATTTATAAGATGATTCCTTTGTTGCTTTGTATGGCCCTCCCCCACAATATAACTCCTGCTTTCACTGTATTTGATGTTGGAGGGGAAGGGAAAAAAAACAAATTGTTTAAATGGGGATACTGGTGGACCCATTGCAACAATGAGATATACAGGTCATTATGTAGAAAAACTTTACAACTTTGGTGGGGAAAGGGGGGAGGGGGGAAGGGAGGAAGAAGGGTGGATATGGGTGTGGGGGGCTGGATATGGGAAGGGATAGGAAGGGAAAATAACAGACTAAGCAACAATGCTTGATAAGAAATGTACTCATTATCTTGCCCATGTAATTGTAAATATTCTGTATGGTATTATCATAATAAAAAATAAAAAATTAAAATAAAAAAATACAATTCCACCCAAATAGTGTGACAGAATGATTAAGAAAGGATTGTATTAATTTGTGATTATTTTAAAATTATCCTAACCTGTACACTTTTACACTTTCTTTTCATTTAAAAGCTGGGATTGTCAGAGTTTCTATTTCTTTTCTTGCCATATTATCCCCAACCCCTGTTTTTTTGTGGTGTGATCACAACTACAAATTTCACAGTTAAATTAGATTCCACAAGCTGGAATAGCAAGCATTGAACCCAATGTTTTCATGTCTCTGTTTCTACAGCAATGATTGAGATTTTTCCTGGCACATCATTAAAACAGCTGCTAGAACATAAACTTCTTGATTAGAGATGAATGGAGATATTAATTTCGGAATTCCATTATCCAGAGATAAGAGATTGGAAATTTCTATTGGTTCTGGTCCCCAAATTTGTGACACTTGGTTAAGGAACCCCTTAAAATGAATACTCCATTCTCCAATATGGAAATACGGAATGAGGAAAAATGAAAAGCAGTAAGAGTAATATCATAATTTCTTCTATTAAAATAATATTCTTAGTTCGGTAAAGAATTGTCCTATGATTCTGACTAAAAGATAAATTTCTAAGGGGATGTAGATGGGAATCCCTTAATATATAATACAGGATAGAGGGAACATCATTTTTCAAAGACACTGTCTGGAATTAGAAATGTTGAACTTGAATGCAAGGAAAACAACTACAAAGGGTATTAGTATATATCTGATGATGTGCTAGATACCATGGCAGACATTTTATGTCTATTATCTCTTTTCATTCTCACAACAAGACTATATATATGCCCATAATATGCCCAATTTATTCAACTTCTATTAGAAAAATAATAAGTAGGAGAGTCAGGTTCTGACTGAAGATTGGGCTAGATTACAATGTCTGAATTCTTTCCAAATATACTATTAATTTCAACACACACACACACAAACACACACACACACACACTCTCACACACACACACAAATAGATTGCTACCTGAAAGAACTAGTCCTTTGGTATTCAAGTACAATTATTTCCTGATATGCAAAGAGAAGTAAAGAAAGATCAATAGTCAATGTTGGCTCAAATACATTCAACTATATTCTAGGGTTATTCTCTAAATGAAAAATTTGAGAGTTGAGCCATAGTTACTATCCTAGCCTGTGGAACATTTATTACCTGTCAGTGCTATCACTCTGGAAGCCTTCTGTTTTGTTTTGTTTTGTTCCAGAGCAATTGCCCCTCCTATGGTTTCCTGAAGAGTTGATTGATTGAAATTCCTATGAGACTGAGGGGCACAGGAAAGGATTTAAATTTATTTAAATCAGCAGTCAGATACATGAGCAAAGGTAAATCCAGGTTACCTGCAAAGGTGCTTAGAGCAAGTGAGGACGTAATTACCTCACCACTGGCTCTCTCTGCATGACAGAGGATCACATGATGAGACATTCTAAACTTTAACACAGCTAAGCCCTATGAATGCACCAAATAATCTCATTTCTATTAATGTCATTGTCCACCACTCAACATGGAAACTTTAGAATCTAGTGCTCTGTATTAAAACAGTTGGTGCTTATTAACTTGCCTGCCTTCAATTTAGCTGAATTAATAGTAAATGATGCCAAAACTCACACTCTTCAGAGGAAATATCTTTCCTTTCTCTTAGAAGAGGCATCAACATGTCTGTGCTGGGAAAAACAGTGGGATAAACTGGAATGATAGTACAGTGCTAATCCTTGCCACTGCTACAAATCAAAAACATCATTCCAATAAATTTCAGAACTTGGCTTCCTCCATGAAATACCCTTAGCAGCAAGAGGCACCAGGAAGAGCAGCTGGGGCAGCTGAGCCTCACACTTCTGCTTCCCTAAGAGGTTTATGCTATGACTTGCATCACTGTGGGAGGGTAACTAGTACTTTGTTGACAGTAATAAGTGGCAACATCTTCAGGTTGCAGGCTGCTGATGGTGAGAGTGAACTCTGTCCCATACCCACTGCTACTGAACCTGGATGGAACCCCAGGTTGCAAATTTGATACATAACTGATCAGGAGCTTAGGAGCTCCCCCTGGTTTCTGCTGGTACCAGTGTAAATTGTTATAATTATTCTCACTGGCATGGCAAGTGATTGTGACTCTGTCTCCTGGAGAAACAGACAGTGAAGGTGGAGACTGGGTCATCTGGATGTCACATCTGGCTCCTGGTAGAGAAACACAAAACAAAATCACCATAGTATTAATCATAATACAAGAAGACTTCCATGAAGTGCTAAGCAGCACTGATCACACTGGACTGAATAGAGCTCCAGGCTGGCCCTCCTTACCTTGGAGACAGAGCAGCAGGAACCCCAGGAGCTGAGCAGGGGCTGCCATGGCTATACTGTGTGTTGAATGAGGCTGACTCCTGCACAGGTTGAGACCAGCTATTAGACATGCTCAGGCAGTGGGCTGTGCTCTTGGCAGATGCAAATCAGCAGGGCCTTAGCACAGCTGCAGTGATGGGCACAGGCACAGAACTGGATCATCACAGTAACTCTGCACAGATTCAGTGACCCAACAAGTCCCAGTCAGACCTATCAAAAGAAAATCTGATCATAGCTAAAGCCATAAGTATAAGGCTGAGAATGAAGAACTTATTAGGATGGGGCTTCAACTTAGACACAATAGAAGAGACTCAAGCTCATTCTGTAGTCCTACTTTGAATATATATAGATGCAATTCTGTTTGTTGGTGTATGTGATATTACATTTAGATGTATTGAGTTGGTATACTAAAATCAGGGCTGGTTATACAACTCCACAGAATCCTTCCTACTCCAAACCCTTTAGACTCATGAATTCCCAAACCCACCCTGTGCTCCTGCTGCTGAAACAGAGACCTTCACCATTCTGAAGATACACAATGGCATGAATAGGTCTGGAGAAAGTGAAACAGGAGCCCAGGAGAAACACTGGATCTTACCCTCAAATGTGAAGAAGCTTTGTGTCCAGTACTTACCATGGACAGCTCCTCTCCTAGTGACTTTTATCACCCAGGGCAGCATACATGTTTAGTGGCTTCGTGGACACAGGCCAAAACACTCCACAACCCACTGACAGCCTGAGCTCTGACCAGGGGTGATGGCTTTGTCTGGTAAACTCCATATGGTATAGCAGAGCAAATGCCCAGTTGTCCTAGGTCAGAGCAAAGCAGAAGAATTTTCCCTGCAGAGAAAATGTTTTTCTTACTAGTTCAGATATTGTGCTCTATAAGGAGATGCTCTATTGATCCTTTAAGGTCTGTGGACAGACTTCCTGTGTTTCTTAATTCTAATTCTGTGTTAATTGCCCTTGAAGGAGACAAGATTAAGAAAAACAAGAGGCTGTTTCACAGTTAGACTATAGGAAGAGAAGTGAAAATTGGAAAATAGTAGTCATAAACTAGGAGGTTATTTAGACTGGACATTAGCATAGTATGACTGAGTTGCCAGGATGGACATAACTTACTATGGTGAGTGACCTTAATAGGAATAACTTACAGAGCACTGGATGACTACCGATGACCCTAAGCTCCCAAAGACACTAAAATCCCTTGAATTCCTATTTTATTTGTATGTAACCCAATAATAGAAACCTGGTCCTAGACTTCCACCTAGTGGTAAAACAGCACACAGGCTCAAATGACATGATATGAGAAAAAACCACCCTGCAAAAGGTATCCCTTAATGAGACTTTCTCAGCTAGCTGCTCAACTACAGGAAGGTTGGCTTGCTCTGTTACAGTCTGACATGCAGAGGATCTCTATGACAGCAAGATAGAATTACTTGGGACAAGTTTCAGAGGATGCATCTTTATATGCTAGCAGAAGAAATAATAGTGCAGCAACAACTCACACTTAGAAGTCTGAAGGCTGGGAAGGAGTGGGCTATTACAACATAATGATGGCAGAAAGGACTCAGGTTCCTTCTATATGTCTACTTTACCATAATCAGGTAGACTATTCAATACCAGGCTTAGTGTTTCATGGTGTCAAGAAAGCTGTGGTGCTTCTGCCAAGTTCTCTTATAAAAATTCCAAAAAGAATTTGAAGGAAAGCTCTTAGATTTCCAGTTTATAGAGGAACACAATCTTTTAAAAGAACTGACCAAATTTCCCAACTTTATCTCTCTTTCTCTCTCTCTCTCTCTCTCTCACACACACACACACATACACACACACACACACACACACACACACACACACACGTAACATCTCATTTCTGAGCTGATATTCCCCTAATCTCTAATTTTGTCCTGGGTAGGGAGATCCTGGCCTAATATTGCAATGTACAGCAGGGAAGACATGTGAAATACAGAGCAAGACACTCATTCTTACTTTGCTGTTATAAGATAGGAGCTCTTTTGTTTATTTTGGAATTTGTTTGCCATCTGATAGTCTTTCTCTCACATTGAGCTTATACAATGCCAGATATTAGATATCAGTAGTTGACAAACTCCACTTTTACTTGTGATGCTTTTCTTCCATCAGTGTTTATTGTTGATCCTTTTCATCCATTGCTAGAATGGAATCTGTAAGGAATATAAAACAATTCCGTATATAAGATGATGCTAAGTGAAATGAACCTCAAATAGGGACACAAGACTTTTTTCTTTGTTGCTGTTGTTTTTAATGTACCATGTGAATTTTTATTTCTTTTGTATGTTCTTCACCCTGGTATAGCCCCTATTTTCACTGTATTTGATTCTGGTGCCCTACATCTTATATACACATTTTTCTAATTTATGGAGGGAAGGGAAATAACAAAATGCTGAAATAAGGTTACAGGTTAACCCATTGTAACAATAAGATGTACAAGACACTATGCTGAAAACAAACTTTACAGCTTCGGGAAGGAGTTCAGGTAGGGAGGAAAGGAAGAGTAGTAGGGGAAAACAAAGGAGGAGGTAACAATGCTCAATAGGAAATGTACTCATTACATTACCTTACTCATGTAAATGTAACCCCTCTGTAAAGTATCTTTACAATAAAAAAATTCCCCTTCCCAGTCATTCAGACATCTATTTCAATATTAAATTCTAATACGCAACCTTAAATTCAGAAAAGATGTTAGTCACAAGACTCTTATGAATGGGCTATTAAGATATATTCGAAATGTTAATAATGTGGTTTTAGACAGTGTTCCTGGAGGAACTCTAGGGTATAGCGTCAGGGTGGGAAGAACGATGAGGTCTCCTGATCTAGAGCTCTCCTGTCTCACAAACCTGTGAGAGCTGATTCAGATAGGCATAGCTGCTGTGTCACTTGTCACTTGAAAGCACTTAAGGTCACCAGGCATGTGTATCAATGACCACAGATGTTGTGCTGTGAGGTGTAACACCATGAATGATCAGATTCCTCTTTTAGGTCCATATCTGCAACATTGACATGAAATGATGACAAGATTTGGCTCCTTGATTTCTAATTGAAGCACTCTTTTTCTGTTTTCAAATAGGGTAGAACTAGAGCTCATGTGCTATCTTATCGTTCATATAGGCAAACTGCCATATGTGGAATTACTACTTTGCTGCTGCCAAGACCCTCTCTATAAAAAAAGATTTTCATAGGATTGTTAAATTGGGAAAAAGGAACTTTAATTGTATTAATTATGGGATATATTAGTATGGAAATTTTTGAATTCATGATTATTTTCGCAAAAATATTTTGTTCAGTCTAGCCTTTTCTCATTATTTCTATGATAGCATAATTAATATATGTTTCTGAATCACTAAAATTCTACAGTGATATTTGTGTTTTGTATATTGAAATATGGTCTCACTCTGAACTCAGATTGTTCTGCATTTTATATGTTGAGATTGAGTCTCATTCTGATGCCAAGTTTGCTTCCTGGTGCTAGGTTTCACAAGTGTCCACCTCCCAGATTATGATAGCATAGTGAATGGATCTATTTAGAGTGCATTGAGTGACTCATGAATTACTTTAACATGGAAAGCATTCACTATCAGCATCCAGTATGGTAAAATGTGCTTTGACCTTCATCGCAATTTTGGATTTTTAAAAATTTATTTTCAGCATGTATGGGATCATTTTATTTCAATTTATAAACTGATCTTTTCCTTAAGAATTGAAAAAAACAATAAAACTCAAGCACAACTGTGTAATTGCAAAATTACATTTATTTTCATATAGATCTGTGATAGACTATAAGTCTAACATGCATGACTCCCAGAATTAGATTATCAGTTCCAACACACTCCCTCCACCTCACCTTACACATGCACACATGCAGACATCACAAACCTATACAGTCACACATTAAAGAAAGGAAGGAAGAAGGAAAGATAGGAAGAGAAGGAAATGGAAGGGAAATGATAGTGGTTTATATTAAACTGTTTTTAATGAGATTTCTCCAGGAAGTTTATTTAGTTTTACATTGTATTTTAAAAGTGTTGAATAACATTTATCCATTTTAACTGTGGATAAACTGTAAGTAATTAAAACTGAGTATCCATTTTCATGTCCTTCTTAGCTTCTCCTTTAGGATCACACTCTCCTATGTGTGCCATTGGCCTGTAAAGGAATACATAGTAAGGAAAAGCAGAAGGCAATAGTACAGGAAAAAATAAATTTCTTTTTTTTTGGGAGGGGGTCCAGTCGTGGGTCCTGAACTCTGGGCCTGGGCGCTGTCCTTCAGCTCTTCAGCTCAAGGCTAGTTTTGAGCCACAGCACCACTTCCAGCTTTTTTCTTTTTGCTTATGTGGTGCTGAGGAATTGAACCCAGGGCCTCAGACATGCAAGGCAAGCGCTCTACCACTGAGCCACCATCCCAGCCCCAAAAATAAATTTCTTCATACTACCAAGTGATATGCTATAACACTAGAGACCACAAATACTAAATCACAAGTGATCAGTCAAACTGCTCTAGTATTCTTGCCACAAATTCAGCCTCAATTGTTACACTTACACTGTACAAACAAAATAGAGAAACTGAGGATGAGGTTTCCAGTCAGCTCTCCAAGCATCAAGTCTCACTAAAGTCTCCCCTAAAAGTTTAGCCATAATTAAGATGCTGTGCCACCCCAGGAGACAGATACAAACCGGGCATCTCATGGCTTCTTACTAATTTGGACACATGAATTCCTTGACATTTTTCTCTGACACAGAACTAGGGAGTATGTCCTGCTTGTTCCACACTGAAGGGACAAGTTTACAGCTGGGCTACCCAAGCAGACAGTTTCTTATTCAAAACTGTAGCACTGGGACATTCGTTGAGTCCAATGAGCAGACAGTATTGTGTTCTTTCATGCCTAGAAACAATGCTGCAGATAATCGGTTATTTTTTTTTTTAACTTGCTGCCACAGAAACTATCTGGGGACCCAGAGATCATGTTGAAATCCACAGAGAATAGTCTTGCATCTACAAAAGTCAATTAAAGTAATTGTTCCATAACTGTGTAGTAGGCACTGAATGGACCTTCAGGAAGTGGAAGCCAGTTCTCCATGGATAGCGGGAAGGCATTATGGAGTCTAGGTCCTTCCATCATCCCCATGGATTCTCCAATAATGAGAGGGGAGTGCACGGTTCTGCACAAACACTGTGAGACATATTGATGAT